AGTGATAAGGCATGGCGCGTTCGTAAATTACTACAATTATTTCAGAGAAATATTCGTCAGTTTGGCTTGTGGAAGACTGCGTTATCTGTTGACGAAATGATGGCCAAATCATATGCAAGAACATCGCTAAAGCAGTTTATCCGGGGAAAACCCATACGATTCGGACTAAAATTTTGGGGTCTCTGCACCGCCGATGGATACCTGTTGAATCTCGATTTATATTGTGGAAAAACCTCATCAATTGGAGATAAATAGGGTAAATGTGCTCTAGGTTCTCGTGTAGTGATGGAATTATTGGATCCATTTCTCAAATCTATCCCTCCTAAGAAGATATCTCAGTTCCATCTTTACTGCGATAATTTTTTTACGAATTTCGATCTCCTAGTACATTTGAAAAAGTTAGGTTTACAATGTACAGGAACTATAAGAGAAAATCGAGTCAAAGAAAAAAATGTAATCGACAAAAAGTCTCCACGAGGTACGTATGTTGTAAAGCATGATCAAAACAGCGGAATAAACTACATAACTATCGTAGACTCGAAACCAGTTTCGATCGCTTCTACCGCTGCAGGGGTAACTCCTCTACTACCGTCTAAGAGATTTAGCTCGAGTGCACATTCAAAAATTGAGATTCCGTTTCCACAAGCATTTCATCTCTACAATAAATTCATGGGCGGAGTAGACGTGCACGATGGACATTGCAACAACTTGCTTCCAAGTATCCGTTCAAAAAAATGGACATGGGTCGTCTTTATTAGATTTATTCAGGCCGCCATTGTGAACTCAGTCGTGATTTTCAACGCAACTGGAGATAAAACAAAAAAAATTGGTTCAAAGCAATTCGCAATTTCGATTGCTAAATATTACTTAGAGAGGCGAAAACTAAAACGAAACAAAGCACACGATACTTTCCGTCACAGCAAACAAGCTCGTTGTTCAATCTGTCCAATAAGAACATATACGTACTGTAAGGACTGTAATGCTTATTTCTGTAGTGCTTGTATGAAAGCGAAACACGTAATCAGGCTTCGGGGATAAGCAAAGGGCGCATTTACAACCAAGCACCCCAAAAAGTGAGAGGCAAGGGGACTCACTTGAATCAAGCACCCCAAAAAGTGAGAGGCAAGGGGACTCACTCGAATCAAGCACCCCAAAAAGTGAGAGGCAAAGGGACTCACTCAAATCAAGCACCCCAAAGGAGAAAGGATTTCTACCACGTCCATGTCGTTTTCTCTGGGTAATGCTAAGAGTAGAAAAAGGCATTATAAGTTTATCCGTTGAGTAATGCGGAGTGATGAATTTCTATAAATTTGTCAATTTGTCAATATATAAAGTTGTCAATTCTTCAATAAACGTTAGATAATAACTGGGTGTTAATGGGAAGGTGTCCGCCATATTGCATCCGCCATTTTGAATTTTGAAATGATGATGCCAGATTCGTTATCAAGGACCTCGAAAACCCCCGAGTGCCACATTTCATCCGATTCAAGTAAGTTTTTGAATTTGGGTCCGCCATATTGGATCTGCTATTTTGAATTTTCGAATTTTGAGGACAGATTTGTAATTAGCGACCTCGAAAACCCCCGAGTGCCACATTTCATCCGATTCAAATAAGTTTTTGAATTTGGGTCCGCCATATTGGATCCGCCATTTTGAATTTTTGAATTTTGAGGGCGGAATCGTAATCAGCGACCTTGAAAACCCCGGGATTCCAATTTTCGTTCAGATGTGAATATTTTTTTTGTCGGGCACCGAGAGTGAAAATTGTCTTCCTGCTGAAGGGATGAAAAGCGCCATTTTGGGGGTGAAAATGTCAATGTCGACAAATTAAAAAAATATATTCTTAAACTACAACTATTTTGTGCACTCATGGTTGAAGAAAAAGGGAGGCTCCTTGAGCGTCTTCAATGAGAAAAAAAATATTGAAAAAAAAATGTCTTCGATTTTTTCGGTTTTTTTTGTTTAAAAACGGCCATATTTTTTTTTCTAATGGACAAAACTTAATTTTGACTCCGGATTCGGAAAGAGGACACTCGAAAGTACAAGGGAACATATTTTTTATTTGCAAATGATTTTTTTTCGATGATAAGAATCTAGCTTGAAAATGAGAAAAAAAAACACGATTCTTCGGCGTTAATGGGTTAATAGAGATTTCCACACCTAATATTGGGGATTCTCCTTGTACTTGTTATTATTGATGATGATGATGAATTACTTGCATCATCACCACCATCACCACAACTATTGCCACCGCCACCATCCTCAATTGTTGCTGGAGAATGATAATCCGACAACAACTACCACCACCATCACGTGAACATCATTGAAATAGTTTTTTGGATTTTATCTTTAACTGTATATATGTAAATAGATTCAAAATTAAGTGTTCTTTTTGTTTTCTTTATTTTATACACATTTTTTATATAATAATATTGTAAAATAAGATCAAATAACAACTTCAGAAAATTAATTAATGAAGAAAAAGTTTATTAAAGATTGACAGCAATTAATTAAAACGAAAGAATCCGTGCGGTCAACTCAAGTCTCCGTCCTAAACTAGAGATAAACAAAGTCTCCCCTCGTCGCTATAAACAATCTAATCGTCAAGCAATCGTCGTTAACTAACAAACTGTCGTTAGTCTAATAGTCATTAGACAGCGACATACAAATATTTTACAATATATATGTATATTCGACATAGTAGTTTTAAGTGCAAAAAATGTTTTATAATAGTTTGTAATATTATATTTTTATATAAATGTAAATAGATCTAGAATTATATGTTTTTTTAATATTATTTATAGACATTTGGCCAAAAATTAAATAAGAAATTTAATATTATAGTTCTATGTGTTTCTTTATTTACTTATAAAACATGGTGATAAATTAAAAATTACAATAACAAGTGTTTTTGAATGAGTTTTTCTTTTTGTATTATTATAGAATATATTTCAAGTCAAAAAAATTAGATAAATATAAAAAAAAAAAAAATAATAAAAATAAATATTTTTCGTCAAGAAACTCTGCGTTAACTGTCTACACATGCGCGAACAAGATTAAACACGTTAGGAAATTACGCAGTACAGGAAAAATGAATTTATCGAATGCTGGAAAATATAATTTTACATAATTTATTGAGATTATTTTTTATACATTTATCAAATAATGTTAAATATCAACTGTAGAAAATTCGAATTTATTATATTTACCTCCGAAATATTTCAAAAATAGCTAATCCTTTGTAGCTTATTCATTTAAATGATCGGCATGATTGTCTTTTTCAAACAGTTTGCTTATACGTGATGGTAAAAAACGTTTACATTCTGGATTGCATCTCTTTCATTTTTTTTCCAATTATGCGAGAACAGCATATCCATATTTTTTTGTTCTCAACAATTCCAATTCATGAACTTTATAGACTGTTTCAAGAGCAAGTCCTTTCATTTAAGTAGATAGTATTGTAATGTCTAAATGTATTTTTAATTATTTCATATAATTATTTAAAATATATTTTAAGAAAAGCTAAAAATGAATAGCGATAAACTTAAGGATTGAGGTTAACGATTATTACTCAAGTTATTTTTTTTTTTTGAGTTTTCCTAAGATTTCGTTAAAATAGAAAGGATTTCGAAGAATAGTTGAGGAAGTCATTTTTTAGATATTTTATTGCTTTTGGAAAACCCACGTGGCGAAAAGCAATAAAACTCAAAAAAAAGAGTACGTGACATAAGAAGAGCGTTAAGCTTTTCCAAAAAGGGAAAAGACCATGCGAAGGGACTTGTGCGCGCCTGAAGCAAGGGACTTCTAATTATGTCACATTCGACTAAATAAATACGTAAGGTTTGATGCATCAGTCAGTTGTCGAAAAAGTAAGATCGAGATCAGATCGTCGTGGAACATCTCTTGAAATCATAAGTCTTGAGTATTGTATTGATAATACTTCAAAGTTTGTAAATTTTTGCATGAAGTTTATTTGATCGTCAAATTATTTTTAAATTGATATTTAAATTAATTCGCGAGAAAAAGTGAATAATTGCGCTGACTGGAACATCGACTGAGGACCAATTAATTGTAATTCATCTCGACCAGAGTAAAAGAAATCATCTGTTGGTAACGTTTAAATTGTTGTTATAATTTTTCAATAATTTTCATTCAATAAAATTTTGTTATCGTTTTTTATATAAATCACACATTTTTACTTTCTCTATCGAAGATCCCCTCATCCCTGTCTATTGGTCGAAAGGCTAGGACTAAAAAGAGGAACTTAAAGTCTCTAAGGTTAAGCATATGGTTTACATATTGACACCTTTAAAGAGCAAAATTACATGACAGTATAAAATCTTCCAAAGTAGAAGATCGGTTCACTTGAACTTGATGAAAAAACATTTGGATGCTAATTTATATATTCAAATTTCCTACTCTAATCTCAAATTTGAGACGCAAAAATTAATGATGCAACATTTTTTTTTATGTCCAAACATGATAAAACCTGCATGTACTAAGGTAAATGGCCCGGTCGTGGAACAATGTCCTAATTATGAAACAGTTTTAGGAATTACGCATATTAATTAATTTTCATGATTCAATCTTTAAATAAAAGTACATGCAATTTATTATGCAGGCGTTTATCTGTTTGAACGTATAGATTGCGTTAAAAAAGAAGGTTTTATTTTATTTAAAAGATTAATATTAGATTCGAACCAGCGCATTGGGCACCAATTTCCTCTTCTCTAGATACAATCACCGAAATATGACGACATCATAAATATTACTTTTAAATATTTATTCTTCAATTATACCATTTCAATTTTGTTTCATATGTAAGTTGAAGTTTCAAAGTTTCACCTTAATGACGATTTTTTTTTTTTTAATTTAAAAATATATTTTTTGAAAAAGGTGTTCCACAATCGGTACAGTAGTTTTCACTGTGACCTAATGTATGAAACAGTGCGCGATAGCGTTTCATACATACGGACGAGTTTGGTAAAATTGTACTTAATCATGAAACGTGTGAACAGGTTTTGTTTAATTTCTTTTGAGTTAAGTTTTTAACATAAAAAGTGATAAATAATCATTTATTTATTTTATTATGAAGTATTAACTGTGTGTTAAAACCTGATTCTTACATGTGAGTTGAGATTTTATTATGAATTTCTATACTTGAAATTTATATAACCTACAAACTAATAACTGAAGAGGCGTTTGATATTATTTTTCCAGACATAAAATTAGTTTTTTTATCAAATTATGGCACGAATGACTAAGAAAAAAGTAAACCCAACCTCTAAGTGTCATACAAAAAAAAGACGCAAAAGAATTCGTCGAAATACAAGAAAAGCTTACTCAGAGACTGCTATCAAAGAAGCTCTTGCAGCCATCAGGGCAGGTGATACATTGAGAAAAGCGTCGAAGGCTCATAATGTTCCTGTAACAACTTTATTTAGAAGATCTAAGGATCCCAATTCTGTTGCAAAAAAAAGTGGCCCACCGACAGTTTTGTCAGCTGAAGTAGAGCAACGTATAGTGGATTGGATTATTTATAGAGGAAAAAGAGGCCATCCTGTAGGAAAATCAAATATTATAGAAGGTGTCGAGTTGTATATTAAAGAAGCAGGCATCGATTGTAAGTCTTTTGTTAATGGTAAACCTGGTCGTCATTCGTATGAAGCTTTCATGAGACGTCATCCTGAATTATCGAAACGTACACCACAGCATTTAACTAAAGCTAGATATGAAGTTGATGAAGAAGATTTAAGACAGTGGTTCCATGAAGTAAAAACTCACTTAGAAAGTAAAAATTTATTAAACATACACCCATCCAGGATTTTTAATTGTGATGAAACCAATTTAGCGCTATGTCCAAAGTCTAAGTATGTTATAACTGCTAAAGGAGCCAAAAACAGTATATAATATAGTAGATGCTAATGAACATGAAAATCTAACAGCTTTGTGTATGTACAGTGCTGATGGTGTTCAAGCTCCTGTGATGACGTTATACCCTTATAAAGAGAAGATACCAAAAAATATTATAGAAAAGCTTCCAAGTGATTGGGCTGCTGGAGTTTCAGAAAATGGTTGGATGACCATCGAAACTTTCTACGAGTACATTACAAATATTTTTTACCCTTGGCTTTTGAAAAAAAATATTGATTTTCCTGTGATTCTTTATTTGGATGGTCATTCGTCACATATTACTGTGCCACTAGTAATATTTTGCAGAGAGAAGCTAATTGAGTTGATTTCATTTGTGCCTCACTCGACACACATAATGCAACCATTAGACATTGCCTTTTTTGGTCCATTAAAGGACAAATGGAAGCAAACGGTTCCTCGATGGAAAACTCAAACAGGCAAAACTCGAATGAAGAAAGAAGATTTTGCTTCAGTGCTGAAGATGACAATTGATTCTTTTACTGGTGTTAATAAAGCTATTACAAATGGCTTCAGAGCAGCTGGACTTGTGCCCTTTAACCCCGATGCACCTGATTATAATATATTGGACAAAACAAAAAAAAAGAAAAAAAACGAATCTCATAATCAACCAAATTCAGAAACTGTTTCAAGAGAAATAGATCAAAGTTCAACTACTGATCTTGCAAACTTTGAAAAAAGATTACAACCTGATTTGTTAGAAGAATTTCTTAAATGTGAAAGAACACAATCATGGACCGGTGAACTAAAATTTACAGGACTCTTTGAATACTGGATGCAGCTCAAAACAGAAGCATCGGGTATTACACTTTAACTTTTATTTTGTATTTTTAATTATACACTTTATTTATGAAAATAGTAAAATATTCTATATTAGTTCTTTGAAATATTAATCAAGTTATTTACAATTTTTATTATTTATAATTGAAACTATTTACAATTATTGATACTTACAATTTTTTATGTACATATATTTACACTTAAATCACAATATTAAAATTTTTTTATTTTTACATGTTCATATAAAATGAATAATTTGAAAATTAGAATCTCAAGTTGGGAATGAAGTTCGGAGGTCTCATCAATTAGTTAATGATTTGAACTTACTAGAAAACATTAATGTTATCAATCATACATATACTTTTAATGCAAAGTTCCTCTGTGAAAAAAATAATTCTGAAAATGGTCTATTGAATGAAAGTGATATGGAACTGATAAATGAAGAATTAGTAATAAATCAACCTGTCTTAGTATCAGAGTTACCTCCTGTAAATTGTTCGAGTTCTGAGAAAATTTTTGAAGATTTATCCAACAACAATTACAGCTTCGTAAAAGAATTACTACCTTCAGAACTACCTCAAATGATTTGCTTCAGCCCTGCACAAATTCTGCAAGACTTACCCAATAACACATTGAACACTACGAATGAACAAATATCAATCAGTGAGTCAAATCCTGGAAATTTTTTAAAGATCGAAAAATTAAATGTACCTGAAGACCTTGAAATAATTATTTTAAATGAAGAAAATGAAAAAATTGTTTCAACTGAAAATCCTTCAGTTGAATCTGAAATATCTCAAGGCAGTAATGATAAGCCACAGAAAGCAGGTAAATTATTTTTAGTTTAAGAAAGTACATGAAATTATAGTTACAAATTATTACATTTGTACTCACTTTCAGACCAAGGAAATAGTTTTGACCACACTAGTGCAATAAAAAATCCAGAAGTTGAATCACAGTCAAACTTTCATGTTAAAACTGACGACTTTAAGCCAAAAGGTAAATTATTCTTATACATACTTTCACATGTAAACTATTTTTGGATTCACGATTAATTAATGTATATTTTTTATATTTTTTCAGCTATTGAACGTATTGGTGATACTGATAGCGATTCTAAGAGCTGCAAAAATTTAGAAAATCTAGATATAAATTTCAAAACGGAGGATGCTTTCAATAAAGCTTTTACTCTTCCAACAAAATATCTTCCAAAAAAACGGAGAGCAAAATTTGAAAAAACAGGAAAAGAAAAGCGGCCATGTGTAGGCACATCAGATGGTTGGTTAGAGACAGAGCTTAAGAAAGAAAAAATAAAGGAAGAAAAAGAGGCTAAAATAGCTAGAAAAAAAGAATTGCAAGAAGGAAAAAAGAAAATTGAACAACAAAAGAAAGATTTACAACAGAAAATTAAAGAATTACAATTAAAAATAAAAAATGAAAAACCTTAAGAATTTAATGTTTTAAATAAATTGACTTATTAAGAATTCAATGTTTAGAGACCTTAAGAATTTTATGATTCAAATAAATTACCTTATTTAGTTATTTTTGTAAATCATAATATCAATTAAGCAAGTTTATTAACCATTATAACAAAAAATTTTATTTTCATTCTATTTACAAAAGTTTATTACAGACTAAGGACGAAAAACATCACGTACAGTGAATCCTAATCGATGTTTCATATAAGGGACATCTTCGTTTGGAACAGTGGGACACGTAAAAAAAAACTGTTTCATAAGAGGTACATGCGTTCGTTATAAATATTGAGGTATTTAAACAAATTTAATCCGTCAATCGCTGTATAAATAATTGATTTTGATTTCTGAAGAGTAGCGCCACATATATTATCAATTCAAATGGTATTTTTTACTTTTATATAATTATTATACGACCCCTTTAAAATTCTAGTATCAAAATTGTTTCATAATAGGACCATTTACCTTAAATGTCAGCGTGCATGTTAATGAAATTATAGCAAGTTAGAACTTGCAATAATAAATGTTGACGCAAGTCTGCATTGCAATTCTAAACATGCATTGTTTAAACAATGTAGTATAATTAAATGAGACGCAATATCTTATTAATGATATTTAATGGCTGACTCGAGTTCGTGAGGTGTAATCAAAAGTGCTATCATTTGTGTTTATTGTTGTGCGTGTTTTATTAAGAATTGAAAATCGAAAAAAAGTATTTTCTTAAATGCAGCAAATTTTTCAATTAAAAAGGGGCCCACTTTTCGATGAACACATTTACGATGGGTTCGTCTATAAATCCAATAAACCTTCAGGTCAAATCATATAAGTGTTATTACCTAAAGAATTAATAGATTCATGTCTACTTGGTAAAGTATTTAGAGTAGAGGATTATCACACATTTATTTGTTCATAATTATAATATATTATTTGACTTCATTACGCTTTATATATATATATTACTTTTTATATAGTATACTGCATACTGCGAACAGTGAGTGTTAATATCAATGATATAATTGATTAGAATTACAACAACGATATAAAAATTACAGTGATATAATATATAATGATTATAATGATAATTAAAATGAAAAAAAAAGTTATAGAAAAGTTATTCTCTTTTGTTTTTAGCTATCTGCGTTGTAAGGAGCGAAAGAATAAGTTATTTCCAGCTACTGCGAAATTAGATGAAAATGAAAATTGCACACTAATTCGTAATCATAATCATCCAAGGAATAATCATATAGGTGTGAGGGTCGCCTCACAAACTGGCTAGTTTTATTATTGAGCAAATTAAAACCGTCAGGGCATATATAGTTATAGCCTCCAGGTACTGTGTTAGTCCGCATGTACGCCACCAGGTGGCGACCGCAAAACAGTTTCGCGCACTTTGTGCGTGGGGAAAAGCCAATAAATTGGAATCTGTGGGCATGGGCAAATCAGCTTTGGCTCACTTCGTGTCAGTATCTGTCAGTCAAGCCTGTGTGAGCATTTCACCTACTTGACCGAAATTAAGGTGTGTGAGCATTTCGCCACCTTAAGTCAACCATTTTTGCGTTCTGAAAAGGACAACGAAGGGTGTGAGAATTTCACCTCTTCGTCGTCTTACTAGGGTCTGTGTGGGTGTGATTACGCGACGTATTATTATTGTTACTATTGTTAATTAGTCATCAAATTAAAACCGCGAATTGCTTGGATTAAAATCATTACGTTAAAATACTAGTTTAACCGTATTTAAAAGAACGCTTATTTATAATAATTGTTATTATTTCCTGCTCCGCCATTTTAGTGCGGGTTTTCCAAAACTGGTAACCTTACTAATACAAGGTTAGGTCTCGATAGAGTATCTTGTTATATTACCGATTCACCGGAGAAGTCATTTATTATTTATACCGTCTGTTCAAAATCCGCATAAATAGCGGCAAATTTAAAAACTGTATATATTACTTTGGCTTGTGTGAAATTCTGTTAATGAATACTGTTTTATTGATAAAAAGATTCCGTTGCTACCGACATTAAAGCCGTCTCGGCGGCAGATTTGAATTCTGTACATAGAGTGATTGCTTGTTTGTTAAAATAAAGATTTATTATTGTAAATCTAATACGCTTGGTACCGTTCACTGTTTACTATTTGCTAATTACCTATCCTAATTACTTATCTGACTAATTGACTTGATTTTATTATTTTTAAACCGCTGTTCCGACTCAACTCTTGTCTTATTTCCTAATGACGAATCCTGGACAACTGAGCTCAATAGCATAAAAAGGGACAAGAGTACTGTGTAGTGCAATTTAACTCTTTTTATTACAATAATTAATAATACTTAATTAGTAGTTAAATTGGCCGATAATTGAATATTTCATCTGTTATTAAATTTTACCGTTAAACATTAGGAATCCAAACCGTTACATAGGAGACTTGAATATTTTCAAACGATCACTATATGAATCCACGATTTGACAATTACGACTATTGAAAGACATTTATGATGATATGAAAATTATGTAAGTATTTAAAAATCTTATTTCATTTGAAAATAGTGTGATGAGAGATAAATCGATTTTTTTAATTTAATAAATCTGAAGTAAAATTTTGATTAAGACAATTTCCATTTGCAGACATCCGGAAGCAGCATCTATAATTTTATTTAAAAAAATTAAACGATCAATGTTGCGATGGAGAGAAAAAGTCGATTTTTTTATCTGCCCAATCTTATGAAGGATATGACTCAAGTTCTATATTCAGAAGAATGGAAATTTTTGAAAAATTATGGAAAAGCGTTGTCTGAATCTCGCTCTTTAGAAGTACAGTGCCTCTGTAGTGATTTGATTGCTTTTGATGATCCTGATTTCATGAATTTTCTGGACCTAGAAGCCCTATACATAAGTACATCAACACAAGTCTTGCCAAAAACTAATCAAACAAACTACCTGACTTTTGTAATTGGAAAACATCGCAATTATGTAAGTGATAACACGAAGTTTCAATGAATAAATTGAATTTAAGATATGCAATACGTTGCTAGACAATTGTTTAACAATAATGTTGCATAACTTGAATTTTTGCTTCTAAAAGAGTATGTGATTATTACTGTTATTTTCATTCTAGGCTTTTCCAATAATATGATTTCTTTTAAAAACTCGTGAATTTTCGATATTAGTCTAGTAGTCGTGAGAATTTATCGTGCATTAACTACAGAATGATAATAAAACTTTTTTTGTTAGATATTCTCGTAGGGAATGATGAGGAAAGTATTTGTGCAAATTTTTATTACTCGAAAACAATAATTACTATTACGTAACGAGAACAGTAAGAGATTTTTAAAAAAAGTTAACACCTTTTTGTAGAAAATCGAATTCTCTACAAAAAAAGTCTGCGAGAGCACCTGTCTATCGTGGACAGGTAAAAATGTACAGCGCCGTAAAAATGTATATAATCGAGCTTTTTGGGCGCTCCGGCAAAATATGCCGTTGAGCGCCTTTTTAATTAACATTTAAAAAAAAAATATTTCCAACTTATGAAAAAATCTGGAAAAATTCTGAAATGTTCGGAATCGTTTTCTGAATATTTTCTAATAAAAAAAAATTAATTTTTAAATTTTTTCTGTGAACTTTGCACCCTTATATTTTTTTTTGTTTATGGGCAAATTTTATAGCCAATTTAGGAGCAGATAGGATTTTTCCCGCCCTATAAAATAGCTGTCTCAGTTTTTTGAAACAATTTGTTTTTAATACCGAAAAAACCGAATGTTGTTTTTGGATTCTCTTATCCTTATTTTGGGGGTGAAGTTATTTTTTAATATGAAAATTATGTACAGCAAAATTTCATATCTTCATGTGAAGAGTATGAAACAATTCTTTAAAAATGTTTTTTAGCATTTGTTATAGATAAATTTTCTAAACAAATGCGTAATTTTTAATTATTTAAAATTTTTTCTTTATTCAATTTGTAGGTTTTTTATGAACAATTATCAACAGAATGTTGAATTTATTGAAAATTCATTTGCAGTCTGTTAATTTTCAATTGTTTATAAGAAAAAATAGTTCGAATAACAATCATGACTATTGAACAATTTATTTTTTAATAATAAACGATACTCCTTCTAATGAAGCATCCGGAAAAATGAAATTTTTTTTTTAATTGTTTTTTAAATAATTTTTTTGTTCTTAACAGTTTTTTTTACTTAATGTATGTTTTTACAGTTACTCCATCATTATTACAAACCAGCTGTCACTGATTTATGTTCTCAAAAAATTTTTTATAATTACTTATTAGTAATTATAAAATATTTCTTTACATTTCTTTTATTTTGAATTTCTACATTATTTTTTATAGTTTTTAATGAAAAAATGAATTATACGTGCTTTTCTCGTGCGATTTGGCTCATTGTACGTTTTTTTTCAACAATTTTTACTCAATCTAAAGTATTTTTAAGTTTTTCAAATATTTAATTCTACACATTGTAACAGTCATCGCTCACGTGACCTCCCGCACTGAGAGGCCCCGTCCCTTTACAATCAAAACGTGTAGAATTAAATATTTGAAAAACTTAAAAATACTTTAGATTGAGTAAAAATTGAGTAATACAATCAACATTTTTTAATAGAGAAAATTCGTAGTAACTATACATGTCGTTTTTCCAAAAATTTAGAATATAATTTTAAACTAATATGAATAGGTAATTGTGATAATTATATGTAATTTTAACCAAAAAAAAATCTTGCTGTAACTAGGTTTGAACCCTGCTCGGCAAAATAAAAAACTGGCACTCTAACCACGGAGCTAGCATAACTTCGTACAAAGTTTTCGTGTTTATTAATTTTGAGCTGCTTGCTTGGGCGTGGAGTGTGGGTATCCAGCTTGTCGGCGATGTGCCGGAACTCGTCACAAATTGTTGTAAGTGCTCTTTATGTTTTATAATTGTTTAAAAAAACTAATGCCTCTTTTCTAGCGACATAAAAACAAGTTTTTCAAATTTTTTAATAACTTTCTTACTTTTCCGCTATAAATTGGAAGTGTAATTAATAAAAAAAATTATTATTTAGAACTAATTTTGGCATGCTAAAATAACGCTTCTATATCGTTAAAAAAAATTGGCTGCGATTGGGTTCGAACTCAGCTCGGCAAATTAAAAATCTAGTGCTCTGTCTACAAAGCTAATACATTAACTCTTTGATTGTTTATATTTATAAATTATAAGCTATTTGCTTAGGTACAAAGGGAGGGGATAGAGCTTGCCGGCGAAGCGCCAGAACTCGCAGTCTTCTCTCTGATGAGTAAGACGGAGATGGATGTATATACTTTTTGCTCTGTCTTGTTTGGAACAGATTATTGAAGAATTTGAAAATTTTCGCGTGCCCTAAGGCGCTCTTTTTTTCGTGCATTCCTGA